TTCTTGGTGTAATAGGACACAACTCCACAAGACCAGAGGGAACCCAACCAGAGGGAGCCATTGAGCTGCATCAGGGAGCAAGTGAAGGCTCCTTCAGGGTTCCCTGCAATAATCCCGGTGCTCCCATCAGCTGGGCTTCCAGGAGCCCAAGGACAGTTACAACACAGACTGACAGCTTGTGGGACAACAGTCATCTCCACTGCAGACCTGCAGGAGATCCCCACCATCTCCATGTGGGCTGAGCCCTCCTCTGGTGTCCTCATGGGTCCCAGGGCCGTCTCTCAAGTTTCCTTAGTTACAGGTCCTCAGCCTGAATGCCTCTGTACCACAAAAGCCACAGGTAAACACTTAGTAAAGTTATGAAAAAGGAACCTCAGAGAGAAGCCCCCAGTCTCTCCTGGCTGATGCTGAGGGGCAGGGAAGGGGGAATCATAGGGCTTGATTCTGGTTGAACGTCACAGAGGTAGCTAAGGGGGAGGCCCACAAATCCAGCCTCCACAGAGCCAGTCCTGTCCTGACAGGGATTCTGACTTCAGCCTAGACACAGAGAGCTGAGGCGGGCAGACAAGAAGGAAGAGCTCACAGTGAAGGGGGGACATGAGAGACACACAGACCCAGAGCAGAGAATTCCAACAGTTCCAGGGATTGCTGGACATGAGGGCTTCTGGTCACCCAGTGAGTGTGTCTGGCCCTGACCCTACAGGGGAGGGGCATTTTGGAAAGGCATTCTGACTGGGTATTGCAATCAGGGCAGCAGGAAAGAAAGCAGGAACATCTGAAGTTGCAGACCAGGGCCCCACTACTCATCTGGCTACCATGTTGGCTCTCTGAGTTTGCTCACCTTGTCTCTAATAGAGACACCAGCAGAGGGCAGCATGAAGCCACTGCTTTTACTGGAGAAGGAGAGCTGTGCCCAGAGCCATATTCCAAAGTAAGTCTCTCCAAGCAGCTTCTCTCTTAGATCCAGCTTGGAGCTCAGTCAAGCTCCTGAAAAGGTTGTGGGGTCACACATTTTTGGGGAGCACTGCAATTCCTTTGTTTGTTTGTTTATTCACTTATTCACTCAACAGTTATTAAGAGTGAGGTGGTCCCCAGCCCTGTTATGGGCCCTGGGACTTCATTGTATGAGTCAGCTTTTCATACTAATCACAGTAACACGAAGAAGAAATGCTTGCATGGCATTCATCAGGGCCCTCCTCTGCTGGCCTGGTCACCCCTAACTGCCCACAATTGCCCTCTCTTGTAGACTATCTTATGGCAGCCATCTTGTGTTCACAGGGGGGAAGCCATCTTTGACCACATGGGGGCGGCTATCTTGTGTCTTAGAATGACAGACATTGGCATATTACTCTTTTTATTAGATAGGATACAGAGGAAAAACTCCCCAATGGTGAGCTTTACACCCTGTGGGTCAAATGACGCAGCGTCAACCAGAAGGCTGACCAAACCTTCCTCTGAGCAGGATTCTGACACTGTGGGCCCACAGTCCTGCTCATGACCATGAGTGTTTGTAGCAATCTCAGGGTCAGAGAGAGGAAGGGAGAAGGAGAAAGAGCTAGAAACATCAATGATGAGAGTAAATCATTGATTATCTGCCTCCTGCACATCCCCAACAAGGGATCAAGCCTGCAAAACAGGCATGTGCCTTTGACCAGAATCTAACCTGAGGCCCTCTGTCTGCAGGCCGATGCTCTATCCACTGAGCCAAACCAGATAGGGCCCCAGTGTCCTCTTAATGACTCTGCTACACTGACAAAACCAAACAAGTAAATGGTCAGGATGATTTCAATGTCCACAACGGCCAATAAGAAAATAAACCTGAGTGTAGTAATGGGTACTGGGGTTGGAGTAGCCATACATTCGATGGTCAGATAAAGGCTTTGAAGGGGAGGACAATGGTGACAATGAGAGCCAGGCCCTGCAGGAGAGGGATCATGCTATCACCCACACAATCTCTGTTGAGCCCAGGGTGGTAGTGCTCAGCTCACGGTCACTAATAGACACTTTGTCCATGACCAAGCATGTACCTCACCCTGATCCCTGACACCACCCCCAACCAATATTCCTCAGTGAGAGGTGTGCAGAGTAAGGCAACTGGATATAGGCTGGGGTGCGGATGGGCAGGTAGGGTCCGCGGCTGCTAACAGCAGGATGCTGGGAATTTCAAGCACTGGGTCTCCTGGTTTCTGTACAGAAACTCACACACTCATACATGCACAAAGACCCCAAATCATGTGCACACAATTCCCCACTCACGGTTTCACCCGTGTGGTGCCTACCTCTGATATTCGACAGAGATGTTCCAGACCCAGGCCCATTGTCTGAAGTCAGGAGGCATTCACACCCTGAACATGCAGAGGGAAGGATTTGGGTCAGCAGTTGCATTTTACTAGTGGGCCATGAGCAGCTGAAGGAGATATTTGGGATCTGACACTGTGGAGTTAGCAGGATCCCCTTTACCTGGTGAAGGGCTATACAGATGGTGAAGCCCTGACCCCCTGGCGCCTGTAAAGGTAAAAGGCAGGCAGAAAGCTGCTAGGATGGTTGTGTTTCCTTGAGCAGTGGTTTCCAAAACTGGCCAAACATCTGGATCACCTAGGGACCTCACCACGGTGAAGAACTCTGAGCTTTTGATGCACTGGGTCCAAAGCTAAACCAACTTGGACTTATGACTCTGCCAAGCCTTCCAGGTAGCTCTGCTGGCATGCCTCAAGGTTACAAAGACAACATCACTTTGCAACGTTCACTTCCCGACACCCCCATGCTGACAATGTCTCTTCCTGGTTAACGGGAAATGAATCTCTGATTCTTGGCAGGTTCTAACGCACAGATCAGTTGCACAATTATGACAAACAACCTTCCAGGTCAGAGGCCCTCTGCCACGTGCAAATACAAGTCCAGGTCTGCCAGTGACCCGGCGCTGGTGAATGTCTGATGGCCACATAGAGGGAAGCAGGAAGCCCAGGATAGAGGAATGCGAATGCTAGACCATTAGCCGGTATCTCAAGTCCACATCCTCTGGTATGGGCATGGCTGAGAGTGAGAACAGCAGAGCCATAGGGCTCCATAGAAAGATGATCCTGCAGGAGGGAGGCCCTGCAATTCCAGGTGCAGCCTAACTGGAGCTGGGCCATAAACTTTAAAAGCTTTCGTAGCTGCTTCCCTTCTGGTGGCAAAAACAAACCTCACTGGCTGGGTCTATACTCCCTCAGGAGACCATTGACTTACATGTAATTTAAATTCCAGGTTCCCAATTTCAGAGCAAGGTGAACTCGCCATTCTAACTTACTCAGTGTAGCTGTTGATGGACTTGAAAAATAGGTGATCCGTGGTCAGGCAACAATGACTTTGCACAAAATGGCAGGTAACCAAGTAACCAAGACTGAAAACAGTTCTGGGATCCTCCAGCGTTTGCTCCTGAAATGGGCTGCATGGATCTGAATCTGTGTGACCATATTGACTCCTCAGCATTAGCAAGGAGAAGTCTTGACAGAGCAATGTAGATATAGAGATTGAGGCCACTCAATGCATTAGGCAGGGACATGCTTCCCAACCTTGCATTTCCTACCAACCTACTGCCTCTCCTCCAGTCTCAACATGGCACAGACACCTAGGCCTTGTTCTCCCTGGGGCACAACCCTGGAGTCAGGGCCCAGGCTCCACAGAGGTCTCAGCACCTGCCTCCTGTCCAGGACTGCGCTGAGCCATGGCCTTCGGGTCCTCACTCTTTGCAAGAGGCAGCAGAGAAAATTGCAGCTCAGATAGACCTGCAAGTTTCTTGGTCCAAAGCCAGCTTGGGGATGGATATGGCAAACAGTGGGGCTCAAGAAGTCACTCAGTCCTCCCCATTCCTGAAGCCGTAGGGGAATGAGCTGCTTAAGGTCAAAGGCCTGTTCTTGGAGCCCCTGGTTTCATTAGGTTCCCTGTGCATGAGATGTCATCATCATATATCCCTGTGTGAAGGGAACTGCCTGCCCTTTGCCCCTGAGGGAGTCGGGGAGGCTGTCTGAAAAGGCTTCTTGAATCCACATGTCCTTCTTGTTCCAGGTCCTGGGAAGCCTGAATGAACTGTAGTTACTGCCTTTAGACTCTCATGAAAATAGTGTATCTTTACATTTATGCCATCCTCACTGGAGCTAACTTGCATGGGTTCCACTACTTATTGATAAGAATTGGGAAGTGAATTTCAGGGAGGTGGTTGCCTCAATCCTAGATAGAGGCAAAATCGTAGTGGGCAGATGCATTTAGAGAGAGGAGCTCTGAAAAGACGATCAGGTGTGACGTCAGGGGAAGAATAGGCAGAGGAGAAGGCTGGAAGGGGAATGGAAGAAATTGAGCTTGTCCTGTAGATTTTTATTGTTCCCCTGATGATTACATACTGGGAAACAATCCATGTGAAGTACATGACTGTCTTCTACAATTTTATATCTAAAGATACCTGTGGTGTGCTCCAGACTCTGACAGGAGGAAGGTTTTAATATACATTGTACTGAGTTTCTTTCATTTCTGATACTTCAATTATAGAGAAAGGACAAATAGCAATATTAAAATATTTTTCTCTAATTAATTCCCTTTTAATGTGCATGAATTTTGTGTACCAGGTCACTAGTGAGCAATAAAGGCTATCCATGTCTTTAGGGATAGGACTGGGCTCTCCATGGGGAGGGACCGAGGGCACCTAGTGGTGGCAGCACTTGGACAAAAGGAGTTGGGTATCTTGGAGGCTGAGGTCTACTGTTGACTGACACAGATGTGGCCCTCCATGAATTTCTGTGGTGGGCCTCAGTGACCTCACTGAGAAAGGAGAGGGCTTGTCTGGCCCTTTCCATGGTTTCACTGTGACCCAGTGCCATGCTTTTAGGTAAGACAGAGGATGTCCTCTGCCAACAACTGGACCAGAAACCCTCATGTCAGCCTCTTTTCATTCCCTAATCCCCATTATCAAACCCATTCCTTCATTTTCCTCTCATCCCCACCAAAGAATGAGTCAACACTGGGCATGAGAAAAACACCACTGAATTTTCTTTTAGGGCAGCAGAGAGCTCAGCAGAGCCAAGGAGGGTTGAGGGACCACCTCTTCAGGCTGGAAATTCACAGACGGCCATGTAGGAGGAAGAGCATGAGGTGTCATTCCACACCCCATCCTTAAGAAGGATCACACAGTCCTCCCCTGAGCCAAAGTTATTAGGCTCATTCTTCTTCCAGTTGCTATAGGTCAGCCTCCCTCCTGTCAAATAAACAAACTGGCCTTCCATCGCTTCATCTGTGATGCCCAGGAAGGCATGGTCCTTGGCCACTTCCATGATGGCTTTATTCTCCTCAGCATTCTTAGGAGTGGCCACAGTGGCCTGGAGCTCAGCGCACAGAGCCTTCACTTTGGAAAAAGGCATCTTTTCACCATTGGTCACATAGAGCTTCTTTCCAGATCTCTTGCCCAAGGAGAAGGCTTGCACTGAAATCACAAAGGGTGGGTGGGATTGACTTGGCCTGGAGCCCAGGCCAGTAGGTGACCAAGCCCTTGTCAGAGCGTCAGGACTCTGAAAAAAGAGCCCATGTGCAACCCCTCAGTCAGGTCCTAATCAGGAGCTCCTCAGCGTGGATAAGGCTCTGAGGGAGAACTCGCCTCTCCTGGGGGAGATGTGCTGGAGACAGTCCCCGGCACACTGCCCCAGTGCAGGTGGACAGGGAATCAGGAGTGGGCCCTGCTGCCAGGCTTGGATGCCAGGACAGAAAGGGGCAGGGTCAGCCATCTGAAAACAGTGGGTGCTGAGGAAAGAGTGAAGATTTGGAGGCTTCAGACTTCCATGCAATCCTTTCTTTGCTGTTTCCCCACCTGAGTGATGTTGATTGAATTATCTGCAACTCCTATTTCCTCTCACTTGTAAATTAAATAAGCATAATGGTCACAAACAGCAGTGACGAGAGGACAGAATGAAACCATAGTGTGAGAACATGCCAACCTAGCACAGGCCCTGGTATATAACCGTGTTCACAATTGTCAGTTCTCCTCCACCCTCCTGAAAGCCCAGAGTGCTCAAGGACAGAGGGAGAGCAGGAACCCACTGGGGCAGGAAGAGGCTTACATTTTTTGATGTGGTTCAGTTCTGTTTCCAAGCTCCTCAGCTCTCTCTCTAAGTTAGCCAACTTTGTCTCCATAGCTGCAAAGCAATAGGAGAAGGGCAGATACTGAGAAAAAGACCCTACATTCAAAAACAGAGTATTTTTGGGGGGATGAAAGTTTATTAAGAAGTACTAGAGGCCCAGTACATGAAATTCGTGCATGGGTGGGGATGTTCTTAGCCCAGCCTGCACCCTCTCCAATCTGGGACCCCTCGAGGGATGTCCAACTGCCTGGTAGGATCGGGCCTAAATGGGCAGTCAGACATCCTTCTTACAATCCAGGACTGCTGGTTCTCAACTGCTCACCTGCCTGCCTGCATGATTGCCCCTAACTGCTTCTGCTTGCCAGCCTGATCACCCCTAACCACTCCCCTGCCAGCCTGATTGATGCCTAACTGCTCCCCTGCCAGCCTGATTACCCCTAACTGCCCTCCCCTGCAGGCCTGGTCACCCCCAACTGCCCTCCCCTGCAGGTGTGGTCCCCCCAACTGCCCTCCCCTACTGGCCGTCTTGTGGCAGCCATCTTGTGTCCACATGGGGTAGCCATCTTTGACCACATGGGGGCAGCCATCTTGTGTGTTGGAGTGATGGTCAATTTGCATATCACTTTTTTATTAGATAGGATGCTTATTCCATAAAAATAAGAAAACAAAAGGAAGTGAAAAAACAAAACATAACTGAATTCCTGCCTTCTCAGACAATTCATAACTCTTATAAGCTGTAACTCTGAAACTAGCAATAACAATAGCAGTAATGGTAACTTGCAAATTGTAGCTCTGGATCCTTTTCTTCCCATACTGCTTAAATACTGTTATATTATGCTCATTTATAGGAAAAGACCAAAGTCATTCTCCTTTTTGAGAAATTTTCTTAATCATGCTTTCATTTCTTATTCCAGGCAAGCTCTTTATCATTCTTATAATAATGATGGGCCAGTGGGCAAATATTTATGTGAGGTCATCAGTTTTGTTTTGTTGGTACTATTTACTTTATTTCACTTCAGATAAATGTATTTAGTTACTCTATTCATTACTTTATTGACCAGGGATCTCGTGAAGCAGACCATCTTCATGCTACTCTTGTGACAACAGGCTTAAACCCAACTTCTGAGGGGACAGGTTTCCTCCTGTGCATCCTAGAACCTGGAATTAGCTGCTCCGGCTGAGAGAGCTGGTCCCTCTGCAGGATATGTGAGGAGTGTCTGGCAGGGTTGCAAGTCTATTCTCAGGCACCTGTGAGAATCCCTTCAGGCCCCAAGTAGGACTGGGTCAGGAAAGCAGAGGTGAGATCTGCCAATGGGGCAGCAGAGAAGCCCTCATCCCCCACCCCACCTGGCCCTAGAGTTCCCGGGCTGGGCCCCTCAGCCCACACTGTGCTGAGATGAGCTCCTTACCTGAACTATCTCCAAGATCTCCTTTTTGGCCCTTCACTCCTGGCGGCCCAGGAGCCCCTTTACTTCCTGGAGGCCCCAGTTTTCCTGGAGGACCCTGCAAGCCTCGGAGCTCCTGCCCTGTTGGAAGATGAAAGACATGTGGCCCAGTGTGTGTCACTCATTCTCTTTTTCCAAAAGCTCAGCACTAGATTCACGTTGACTCCAGAACCACCAGCAAACTAGTGGTGACCTGAGAAAGAAAGACCTGCCTCCAGTGCCAGCTGCCCGGCTGTAGATACTGCCTCTTCACTGACAACCACACCCCACCGATTCCTGCGTGGAATGTGGGAGCCAGGTTATAGCAGCGTCTTTGTTTAGGAGAGAATGACAATGTACAAAAATTATCCTGAGTGATTCATGCCCATCAGCATGTAAGGGGAGCCTGCTCATGGCTCTGTCCCAGATCCCTCTGAGGAGTAAAGATTCAAGAAGTCAGACCAGCCTCAGGTACCTGGTTCTCCTTTTTCTCCCTTGGCTCCATCTCGCCCGTCTCTGCCTGGGGTACCATTGGTAACCGGGATGCCACAGGTAATCACTGAGCAGGCCTTCTGGGCATCTTCACAGGTTGTGGGTTCTGAGAAGGACACTGTCACCACACACAGAAGGGTGGGAAGTGATACAAACCAGAACATGGTCCTCACCTGGTTTGGAGAGAGTGCAGGGAAAGAATTTCATCTCATCCTGTGAGCCAACATTCACTACCACCTCTGGTGTGTTGGACCCTGTGCTCAGGACAGCAGACACACCAGCTGTGACTCTGAGTTTCTCCCAGGCTACTAAGGAGACAGACAAGTAAGTTAGAATTCGATCAGTGCTAAAGCCAACATAGATGCAAGAGGACTTGGTAGGAGCCCATTCTCCCTGGGCCTCCAGTGCCCCCGTGGGTACAAGGCTTAGGGTGTGAGGCAGGCCCTATGCATGACTTAGATCTGCTTCTGTGGCCTGGCACAAAGGCAAGATCACTGCCTGTGTGAGCCTCAGCTCCTCTCAACTCCAGTCTGTGAGGACCAAATGGGCTTCAGCTTCCCTCTTGTTCCCTTCCTATGGACCTGAGAGCTAGACTCAAACTATAGCACAAGATCCGAGCTCCCACAAGGCCCATTTCTTGGCAGGACTTGGTTATGACATCCATTCTCTCATTTCGCATAACAATCCCTTTTACGCTTAGAGGTTCACTAACGTCAGAGCCACAGTTGTTTCTCCAAGTCTGTCAATCATTTCATCTATGATTTTTTACTCTATGACAGGCCCTTGCTGGTGCTTAGGACCCAGAGGCTGGGCTCTGACCCTCCCAAGGAACCCTCTTTGATCATTGATCTTGGCTACATAAGACTTAGAATTGCTTTGTTCCCTTGGTTTGAAGTTTTCTCTTGTGAGGCATTTATTTATTTTTATTTTTTGCCACCAGAACTCAGGCTCCTAGAATTTCTGTTTATACTCAGCCTGGCCTGATTTCAGCTCATTCTTCTTCTGGCAGGCTTCTCTGCATTCTTCCTAGAGGCCCCCCAGTTCTGTACCCCCACCCTGCTATCAGAGTCCCCTCCAGCCTTTGCTCAAGCTGGTCCCTGTTCCAGAAAGTCTTCGTAGCTCAGCCCTATGGGCCTCTCCCTCTGCTCCTCTCTGACCACTAATCCCAATGTTGCTGGTCCTTGTTGCATAACTACCATCTGCCCTTACCTACCCCGCAGCTCCCAGAACTCTTCCCTCCCTCCAGAACACAATGAGAAGTAGTGATTTGGAAGGAAACTTTATCACATTTTCTCCACTTTTCCTTTTTCTATCTTGTTCCCCACCCCCTGCCCTCCTTCCCTGATTATACCAAAAGCCAAGGTCAAGTTTAAACATACCTCACTTCCGTTCTTCCCTTTGACTGAAAAGACCACCCTTTAGTTTGCTGATAGTCAACTGGATCTAAGAAGAACATAAATGGCACAGGTCAGAGAGAGACAGAGGCCCTGAGTGGGCCTGACAGCCCCACCAACGCCCCAGCCTGGACCTCACGAGGATCAAGTCAAGTGGCCAGACTCTTGGCCCAGGACTCCACCTCTGTCCTCCAGAAACGACTTACTAGGGCCTCCTCAGAGCACGAAGGCTGTGGCAGGGAAGCTGTCCTCTAGCCCAGGCCTCTGGCAGATGCCTCAGCAATGTCAGACACAATTAGCCTGGTGACCAGGACAGTGCTGGACTGGCCTTCACCCCAAGTTAATAAACAACCATTATTAGAACTCCTATATTCTGGGCAGCTCTCCAGGACTGATGGTGGGCCCTTCAGCCCCACTGGGCAGCTCTCTAATACCCTAAACTCCTCCTTCTACTGGCCCCTCCAATGCATCCATCTCTATAGCTCGGCAACTGACCCTCTAGAATCACAGATTCTCAGGCTGTTTTCCTACAGACATTTTTTACAGAAGAGACAAGCATAGACATTCTACCAAACACATGCTCACGTGTGTGCATGCACACACACACACACACACACACACACACACAAGAACACGCCTCTATATCTGTAGTTCAACCTCCATTTGTGTTTAGTCTACTGACAACACTGATTCCCCTCTTTCCAACCTTCTCATTCAGAACACTTATCAAATGTCTTCCTTGGGCATGTCACAGGGCTAGGCACAAGGAGAAGTATTTGTAGGTAAGTTACAGTCAAAGCTGAATGTGGCATTTGCACTCGCTGTTCCAGCCCAGGACACTTGCCTCTATCTTTGCAGAATTGTTTGTTGTCATTCAGATTTCAGCTTAAATATTATCTCTGGAGAAAGTGCTTTCCTTAACCATTTAACTTTAAGTATCCACTCTATCAAAATTGTAATTATAGTCTTATGTAATTATCGTAAATTACGTAATTTACGTCTGCAACATAATCTTAAATATATATATATATATATATATATATATATATATATACACACACACACACACACACACACACACTTGAGTTTTTACAGAAAGGAAAGGAGAGGGATAGAGAGTTAGAAACATCAATCAGCTGCCTCCTGCATACCCCCTACAGGGGATGTGCCCGCAACCAAGGTACATGCCCTTGACTGGAATCGAACCTGGGACCTTTCAGTCCACAGGCTGACGCTCTATCCACTGAGCCAAACCAGTTTTGGCTGCAATATAATCTTTATTTGGTTGTGTATTTAATGACCACACGATTCCTTAGAGCAGAAGTCCTGTTCATCAGCTGTTGTATCCCCACCTAGAAGAGTGCCTGGAAACAGAGTCAATGGTCAACAGACATCAATGGAATGACTGAATCCCCAGCATCATGTCCTCAAAGCAACCCTCTTGATTTCTCTCCAGCCAGCGTGAACACCTGTGACACTGTTTCAGGGTACTTACTTTTCTAAGAACATTTGATTCAGCTCCTTGTCTCCAGGGTGCAACCCAGGGCTGGGTACACAGAAGGACGTGCTGAGATAGTGAGGAGAGAAGCGGAGACCATGAGTGGGGCAGGTACCAGACCAGTCCGTGGCTCCTCCAGGCCTGGGTTTCCAGGGGTGTCCAGTTCTTATAGTCAAAGCCTGACCAAGTCACCTTTTCCAAGTCCCTGACATGACCTTTGATTCCCGCCCTCCCCGAAACTTACACTCACTCTCTGAAGCACTTAGTCTTATCAAATAACTCAAAAGGTTTTGGTTTTCCCTGGTGGGGAACAGGGACTGCTCTTGCTTTGATCTTGCTTTGTGATTGGTGTTTTGACTTCTCAAAAGTCATCAGTCCTGTGTATTCAAGTCCTCATGCCTGTTCAGCAATCCAAGGTTCCTGTTGTAAAGGAGCCTGCCAGGCACTACGAGTGGCCCTTTGTGAAGAAGACCCTTCTCAAGGCTATGTTTCCTGATGCCATTGACACAACTTTGAAGGGGCAATAGGTTCAGAGGACAAGGGGTATTCAACCCATTCAGCAAATGAGCAGACCTTCCAGACAGGTAACGGGTCTAGTAATATTAATGTCGTTTTTTTAACATTCGTTTAAAATCTTGCTTGGCGTTGACTTGTATTGACATAACCTTCAAACATGTGGTATCTACAGAACGTGTGAAGTGCAATTAACAAGTTTTGCTTGAAAAACTTTGTGTTTGGTTTGGTTTTTGTTGCAAAACTAGGGCTAAGAAGATGGCGGATGAAGAGCATATTCGGCACTGCATGCTTCACGAGTTCCAATTAGGAAGAAAAGCAAGTGAGGCTGCAAAAAACATCTGTACTGCTCTTGGTCAAGATGCAGTTAGCACCAGAAAATGCCAGCGTTGGTTTGAGAAATTTCGCGAGGGAAATTTTTCGTTAGATGACAAGAGTGGTCGAGGCCGTGTGTCCAATTTTGATCAAGAAGCTCTTCAAGCTCTTTTGGTGCAAAATCCTCAAATTACCCAACAAGAGCTTGTGACAACTTTAAATTGTTCACAAAAAACAATTTCCAATCAATTGCGTGCACTTGGCAAAGTCCAAAAGTTTGAAAAATGGGTTCCTCATGAGTTGACCGACAACAACCATAATCAAAGAGTCACAATTTGCAGTTCGCTCCTCTCTCGTCAAAACCGTTTGCCGTTTTTAGAGCAAATTGTTACCGGAGATGAAGAATGGGTGCTGTATGTTAATTTGAAAAGGCGGCCTCAATGGTTGGACAAAAATGAGGCTCCGCAGCCCACGCCAAAACCTGACTTGCATGCGAAAAAAGTGATGTTGTGTGTTTGGTGGAATTTTAAAGGAATTCTTCATTATGAACTTTTACCATCTAACCAAACCATTACAAGTGCAGTGTATAGTGCCCAATTGGAAAGGTTAGCCCAAGCTTTAAGAGAAAAAGAACCCGCGCTGATTAATCGGAAGGGCGTAATTCTTCACTACGATAACGCACGACCGCATACTGCAAGAATCACTGCTGAAAAACTGCGCCAGTTGGAATGGGAAGTTCTCCCTCAACCTGCATATTCTCCTGATAGTGCCCCTTCCGATTACCATTTGTTTCGTTCTTTGCAAAACTTTCTTCTTGGAAAAAAATTTAATAATGAAGAATGCCTCAAAAATGCATTGACCGAATTTTTTGCATCAAAATCACAAGAATTTTACAACAGAGGGATTAAAATACTTCCTGAGCATTGGGCACAAGTAGTAGAAAACAACGGCAACTATATTGTTGATTAAATTTTGTTGTATTGTTTAAATAAATTTGATTTAAAAAAAGTATTAGAAAATGACATTAATTATTATTAGACCTAATAGAAATTTGAAACTGAGTGACTACATAAAACCAGGACCCTGAATGTGTTATATGAGGAAGAGGAGCTTGGGACAGAGGGAGGGATGTGCCCGGTCAGCTAAGGCATAATAAGAAAGCTTTGACTCTGCGCACACATTTCTACAAGTCTGTATTCTCATAGATTGGAAGTTTGAATGTATGCTATTATTGTTGTGTGCTATGATTGTTATTAATACATTTTTCTGTTTATGCCAGGATGAAAATTTGTTTTTCAAGGGACGCAGCTCATCACAACCTAGTGTGCCATGGGGACATAAAAGCAATGGAGGACCTTGCCCTTAACCCAGGATTTGTTCAGATGGAATCAGGTAAATTTAAATTTTGCAAAAATTGGCAAACCCAGTAGGAAATAAACAGAGTGAAAGCTGATTGAGACGACAAGCCTCAGAAATAGTCCTCTAGCAAGGAAAATCACCAACAAAATGAAAAGACAACCCACTGAATGGGAGAACATATTCACCAAGAGTACATCTGATAAGGGGTTAATATTAGAAATTTATAAAGAATTTACATGGCTCAACATTAAAAACAATCAAGCCAATTAAAAATGAGCAAAGAACCTGAATAGACACTTCTTCAAAAAGGATGTACAGATGGGCAATAAACGTACAAAAAGAGTTTGTGACAGCATAGTTGGACCTGGAGAGTATTATGCTCAGTGAAATAAGCCAGTCAGAGAAAGACAAATACCATATGATCTCACCTATATGTGGAATCTAGTGAACAAAATAAATTAGCAAACAAAATAGATGCAGAGAACAAATTAACAGCTATTGTGGGGAGGAGAGCTGGGGTGACTGGTTGAAGAAAGTGAAGGAATTAAGCAAAAAAGAAAACTCATAGACACAGACAATAAAGAAAAAGGGGGTAGAGGGAGGTAGAGGAGGGTAAAGGGGGACAAATGGTGACAGAAGACTTGACTTTGGGTGGTGAACACACAATATCATATACAGATGACATATTATAGAATTGTACACCTGAAACCCATATAATTTTGTTAACCAATGTCACCCCAACAAATTCAATAAAATTTTAAAAATTAAAAATAAGTAGCCCTTCAAGGACTGCTGACTCTGTACAACAGAGAGATTAATATTTTTAGAAAAACAATATAAATAAATAGAAAATAAAATAAAAAAATTAATAAAATACAAAGTAAATAATATATTTAATGAACTTGAATAAGGAAATAACTATAGAGCTAATAATAAAACAAAACTGGTTCCTTGCAAAAAAAATAATAAATTTGGCAAATATGATCATGGTAGTTTGAATTATTATTCCTCATTTGAACCATCTTCTTATCATAAAATTTTATTGAATTTTGTTCTTATCATAGAATTTTATATTCAAACTCTTTGTAGAGTCCCCTACTAGACAGAATACATGGAGTAAACACCCTATTGATATTTGGCTTGGCTGTATGACAGTGAGCAGACATGAAGGGAGCAGTAGCTTCCAACATACTTATAAGTTTAACCTGGCCTCTTCTTGCTTTTTCTAATTATGGGAAGAATATGTCCCTGTTACCCACTAATAACAGAATAATTATATGACATGGAGTACCCACCTGAAAGCCTGAAGTAAAAACTGGCTATGAAAGTCCAGCCAAACATTAATGGTTAATAGCACAGTGTGACTTCCTGTATTTATAGTCCAGTTCTATCAGTAACTGGCTGCATGATCTTTGACAATTCACTTTAATATCTATTTTTATTCTTATTCTTATTTGTATATTGGGGATAATAGGGCTAAAGAAGATGACGTGAGTTAATACAAGTACAGTATAGTGCCTGGCACATACTAAGTGTGATGAGAGTATCAGCCATTAGACCAAGTAAGGTATATCCTAGAAATGGAAGGATGGTTCAATATAAAAAAAAAATGAATTCATGTAACTCATTAATTTATATATGCTGAGTGGCCAGATTATTATATATCTCTGGACCCATAAAAATCTGGCCACTCAGTGTATATCCTATATA